GGAGTATAAAAAAGCTGCTTTTACGGTTTGTCAATACTTTCGTAAGCCTTCATTTACCGCTAAAGTGCATTGCAACCACGGTTTCACGTATGTTGTCATTTTGATTAGACAAATACCTAACAGAGCTGCCTTATTCTTATTAGAAAGTTAGAACTGCAACACGTTAGCTAGTACGCAACTCGGCACGGGTTTTATTTACAATTATTTTGGAAATTGTCAAGCGACGTGCGTTTGAAAAAAACGACTTTTCTTTTTTTGGGACACGCTAGTACATATGAATCCTAAAGTGCAACCGGGAAAGAAAGCCTATTCCGAGAAATCGGATATTCCATTAGAGCAACGCATTAAACAGTGTGCTTTCTGTTTGGAGCGATGTCTTCGCGATTCTCGGATTGCGTTTCCCTTCAGAAAAACAAACGCTAGTCGACGGATCACGGTCCAGATTCGTCAATTTGAGTAAATGGATCTTGACGTTTTTGCTGGAAACGATGGAGCTTAGAGATGTATTCCTGTTCAAACATGTGTAATTCGTATTGTCAGAATTTATACGTCTGTATCGCGTCTTATCATTTCTGAAAATAGTGTTACGTGGGTTCGATGGGGTACCTGTTTTATACGTATTTCCCATTTACTCCCCACGCCTACTGGATGTTACATGACATGTATATACATCATAAAAAGAACATGGACTGTCTGTTTATCTGTCTGATCTTTGATCCGTCTATAACTTAAAAAGTACCACTTGAATATTGATGAAACTTTCAGACAATGTTATCATTATGCCAATGACAAAAAAGGTATGTAATTTTTGAAAATCGGTTCAGTGGCGGAGGAGCGAGAGAAAAAATTAACTACATAAAGATTGCTCGTTTTTGACTTTTCAGAGGCTCTCAATTGTCTTTGGAAAAGCTTTTGTTGGAGTTAAAAATCGGACGTTCGGGGCTGTTGGGGGTTAAGGAGGGCTCATCTGGTTTGACCAGGAATTCATCAAGTCATATATATATATATATATATATATATATATATATGGGTGAAAAATTAAAGCTTCCGCCTTTTGTTGGGTACTTCGACAAAATTTTTTTTTTTTTTTAGCTTTCAATGGACTTTGCCATCATCATCAGGAGCTGCAATTACAATGATAACAGTAGCAACAAAAGTGTAAAATGAATTTAAATTGACCCAACTTACAGTAGTATGTGAGGATGTTGCTAATTGTTGTTTACGTATAGGATGAGGGAAACGTCCAGTAACATGGTGAGAGCTGGATAGATTGTACAATGGTCAAAATTATATAAAATATGACAAGAACAAGTTAAAAACAGATTAAAAATTATTTAAAAAAGATTAGAGCATTACATCGTGAAGCCACTTGATGATTGCACAAATTAGTGGTCATGGAATAATGAGTGAGATGACACCCTTTGACAGAAGGCTGAAGGATGTCAATGTCTGTGTTGAAAGATGGAACGAATTGTGGGCGTGTGCCAAACGTTGCCAAATCACTTCAGATGATGTGATTTTCAGAATTTTATGTAAGAATTTGTTAAACCGACCAGAGGCAGTTGAATAAACTATATTTTAATTAATGGGAATTTAAATTAAGAATTATTAATAAATCGTGAGAAGAGAATTATTATATTTTGAGTGGAATGAAATTTATTGGTGGAATCGGCCAAAACACAGATTCTAATTATGGTTGTGAAGAGTCGAAATTTGGGGAGATATGTAAGTTCTCCAATTTTTTGCAGTTTAGCAAATATGAGTAAATGACACTCAGTTGTTTAACATCTGTCTTTTTGTTGATACAGTTGTTATTCATGAAGATGTGGACATTTCCAGGAATAAACGTTTGGAAAGGTATTTTTCTTTATCAAGAAATTATTTTGTCGAAGTACCCAACAAAAGGCGGAAGCTTTAATTTTTCACCTAACTGATCTAGACGACAATGACCACGTCTCAAAATATATATATATATATATATATATATATATATATATTTTCATAAATAGGATTACTTGAGACGTTGATGTTTGGCTTGTCTTGATTTTTTATTGTTCTACTTGACCTAAGGTCAAGCAATTTCGAACTATTTTAATAGAAAATGCAACACCGACTTCCTAGTCGGCACTCCTGTTCTGTAATTTTGAGCATACTTTTACAAGTTTTAGGTCTACTGATAAATAGAAAGTGATTGAAATCTCAACTCAAAATTTCGCAAAATAGCTGAGATAGCCCACCATAATGTTGATGTATTGAAACTCCTCTGTTCGCTACACATTTGCTAAGTCGTTACGGCACTCTAGACGTGATAATGCAATGAAACAACAACGGAACAAATGGAACCCACACAGAAAAACCACTAAATATCAAGATTCAATAAACACCTAATCAAAACATAAATATTCCTCAAATTGTCGATAGTTGTCAATAGTTTCGCGTTACTTTGAGCAATTTTCGTGGTTACCAAATGCGTTTTACGAACGATGAAGCTGTTGATATGCTTGCAGAATGAATATCTTCAGAATGCCGTAGTAGCAGAAATCGTTCTATCATCATACGATAAGCAAATTATTTTATTCAATATATTTTTTTTTCTCTTAGTGCGTGTATCATACATCCGAGATTTCCAGGCACATTTGCCCATAAAACTTAGAAGCAGATTGAACGGACGTGACGCGTCTAGGTCGCATTTACCGTACGCTAAGGACTGACACCGATGCGCACGAAATCATGAAAGCCTGCAGCTTGTATGCCGTCTAATCACTTACTACCACACTGCTCGAGCTGGACACTACATCATCGCTGATGTTGCCAAATGGGCGATACTTTCAGTAAGGGCAGGGAAAAATTCTAGATTCTTTTTTGCCAAACTTGTGTTCCCCTCGAAAACAAAATCGACGAGTCTGAGCGTTTTTCCAGAAAAAAAACGGAGCTGCCAGTAAATGCGTCTGTTTCGTTTTCAATGCGCCACCCTGTATACCAACGGGCGCTTCCTAAGTTTTAACACAAAAAATAAATTATCTCCAAAATTTCATGTGGAATCATAACGTATTATCCTTGCTTAGATCAATATGTTTGCGTATCGTGCTCTCGGTCGATCCCAGCGAAAGTCTCCATAATAACTGAAGGTTCCAGACAAACCGTGGAATCACGGTATCATAAGACGAAGTTGTAACTACCAGTGGCAGTCTCATTTTCTTTAAGTATTTCCTCGAAATAATGAGCGGCTGTAACGTGAAGTGGTGCTACGCGACTCCCGACGACTCGTTCGCCGGCTTGTGACACGTGCACTGCTGGAGTTTGAGATGAGTTTTAATGTTAAAATATAAGGTGTAAAAAGATACAGTGTTTACATGACTTGCGGCATTGATCGTTTCAAACTAATATAGGGAACCCCCTACAAGGTCTCAACCCCAACAAAAATTTTCTGAAAATGATTAGGAGCTTCTAACACGTTAAAAACGCTGTTTAAATGATTTTTTTTTCGTGTTTTACGCACATAATAACTCGATTTCAAAATGTTTCGAAATTTCAATACTCCCGCGCCAGGAGACTTGGACATCGTAATTTAGTGTACCGATAATAACAATTACACAGCGAACAAAAACGAAAAATACGAATTGCATTTAATAATTGATGTCGATTGGCGAGTGGGATGGTAGCAGGTAATGGTATAATCGATTGATGCCATGGAACTTGCTTGGCCTGGATACCCATGGAGGCGAATATCTAATGTAATTCGACTCTAATTATTTTATGTGTGCCTCGAACTTCGAAGAATGTTCCTTTCTTTTGTTTGTCGGATATTTTTTGGTTCGGAATAAAGCATGAAAAATGTTCGCTTCCTTGCCTGGGAGAACATTAAACTTTTTTTTTGCTTGCTATAGGTATATGCAAGTTAAATTACTGTATTTTGATTAACGGTACAAAGGAACAGAACGGTTAGACAAGAAGTGACAAGATTTCCTCACACATGGATTTAATACAATGCAGTAGAAATATAATATGCCGATACAGAGGATGTTAACATGTGAACTTCAAGGCGCGAGATAAGATTCCATAGCGGAAATAACTTGCATACTTCCAGATATCGTAATGTTTCAGAAGTTGTATTGTCTATAAATTTAGTAGACATTCGGTGTACTTCGGATGTGTTTCCACAGAGTGTGAGGATTTCTCTGAAAGACTCCGGTTATGCTACTTGTAATTTTTGCTCTCACATGAGGCAGCGTGTCTCTGAGCTCAGCCGATTCCACGGCACATACGTGAAAAAATTGCGGCTTAAACTTGCCAACCAAAAATGATAGAAGAGAAGCGGTTGATATCTTGCTGTTAAGTTCCGTACACGTACTGTAAGACTTATTTCACAAGTGTTGGGTGGGAGATTGGATTAGGTAAAGAAAAGATAATACACTTGAAACAGTATTAGAACGGGAAGATCAGGAAAGTTCTACAAACTTTCTAGGGATATCCGCTGATGATTTAAATGTTCTGAAAAAATCTCAACGCGGATCTGCACCTTAAGAACAGATTAAAAGTAAAGTCCTATGAAATGGTTTCATCCAGTTTTTATATTTGATGTGTGTTCTCGTTGGTTCACAAGGAAACGTCAGTATTTTTAGTTCTGGTACATTAAAAAGTTTTTTCGTAATAGGCACCGGTGTAACGTAAGAATATTTGTCATGGACAACTCACTTTCCATTGCTATAAATGAAATGAAAATTTGTATTTGAAAACTTGAAAAGCATTGACTTTTGTCAAACGACTAAATTCGAAACTGGATGTAGGCAACCATAATTCCACAGCTTTGCCATTGATAAATAGGCGTAGTAAATTGGAAAAGAGGCGTAACCAAAATAAAAGGCGTGGTCTCTTAGCTATTAATCAGGCCTTCTTTCCGGATTAGTCACGCCCCTTTTCCTAGTTGGATGTAGAGCGCTGCATCAATCTACGACATACGTTTCAGTAGTCAACATTCGACATCAAACTAATCGACCCATCTCTATGCCGTAGTTGACAGCGCCACGACATCAAAAAAATTTGACAGTTACGACAAATGACAGTTTACCAAACAAAATTTATGTTGTTCCCGCGTTTTGTTCGGCACTTTAAACAATTTATGCTTAACTTAAATGCCGAAATACCCTCAGCATCTCCAAATTTTAACCGTTTATCACGACCGATCAATATTTCCAACATAAAATGAACCAAACGGCAAGATTACAGTTCTACAATGATGTCCGTGCAAAAATGGAGAAGTGCATCGCTTCAAAGCAGACCTTGGAAACACCATCAATAATAAAATGCTTACAATTAATTAAAGATGACATCAGGGACAGTAACCAAGCAACAAAATCGGCCGCTGTCGACATGCTGGTGTTCCTCATGGGCGTGAAAACTGCCGAGGTCCAAACCGAGATCATGAAGTTTATCCAGGAAAGTCCTGATGATGAAGTACTTCAAAGTTTTGTGAACTCCTTGGAGACAGTGGTGTTGAATACCATAGTAGGAGGTCATAACTTCATCGAGACACTGCAAGCTGCGATGCCGTACAAGGAAAAGGTAAGTGGATAGGTCAGGGTGTTGACTGAGGTTCTGGTTGAAAGAGAATTTGAAGCTGAAAGATTGCAGTAAGTACCTTGAAATAGCGTGTTTGCATTGAGGAGTTATGTGTCATTTTGCAGAAGAAGGTACTCGCAACAAATTCAGATTAGGTAGAAGGGGCCAGCAAGAGATTTGTTTTTTTTTTAATTCGTTGGGTACTGATGATTGTGTGCACTTTCTGTTAAAATATCATTCGGTCACATTATTTGATAAAATCCTTGATTTTCTAACATGTATCGCCATTTTAACATGCATTTCTCTTAATTTTCAAGTAAATTATGCCATTAACGTAGTTTTGTATGGGCAATTTTCCAACTGCTTTTTTACAGATTCCTGCAGTAGTAGAGAAAATCTGCAAGACGAACATCCCCCCTGAAAAATGCAAGGAGCTATTCTTGCATACCATCATACCATCCATGATGACAGAAAACACCATAGATGCAGATTTTAGAACTGTTCTTGTTGAAACAGCATTCAGATTTACCACCATAATGCCTATAACCAACTTAACAACAGATGAGGTTGATACTTTCTTGAAGAATCTCAGTTCTAAGTATGTATCTAATATTCCCTAGATTTTTCTTGAGTCTACTATCTCATATTGTTGCCAAAATTCGATCAATTTCTGTGCAGCATTTACTGATAATGTTGCTTAGTAATTTTTTGAACTTCAAATTACAACATAGCGATTCTTTCAAGGTATGTAGTGGTGATAACGAATCTGCGAGACAATGAATATTCCAACTGGCACAAACTGTGGATGTTTTTGGTTCGATTCTGTGGCAAAAAGCTACACAACTCGATGGATCTGACAAATAAGTTGCTCAGAGTGGTGGAGTTCGCTTTCAGGAATGTCAATTATATGCAGAGATTGAGGGGGTATGACTGTTGGAAGGTGTGTACATTTTATTGTGAAATAACAGTGCATCATAGGGAGGGGTTGAAATTGAAGCATATTTTTCGTTTCAGGAGTTGATAGACAACGCAAGTTTGGACAAATCCTACATTACCAGCAACAAACAAATGAAACTCCTGATTACACCGCTGAAAGCAAAATTTTCTAAACAGGATGTCGTTATTTGTAAACGTTTCGTCGTTTTTTGTTACTTATTGGACAAACTTCAAGAAAAAGCTGTGGTGTGTCTTAAAGAATTCTTGGAGTTTTGCTTTGGACCTGTGTTAATGCCTGCTGACTCCTCAAAAGTCGGACCTGTCAAAAGTGTTTCTTCACTGTGGTTGAAAAGTGCCAGGGCCTTGATTGACATTCTAGGTATGATAATTTTGACTTTATAATCTCCAACAAAAATTGGGAAAATCTCTGTTTACACTTTTTGCATGAGGTGTCTTTCCACATACCTGATTTTTTCCTTCATATTTTAGGCCATTATCACAGCAAAGAAGACTGTATTTCTATAGAGCCAGTGATTCACCTGCCAAAGCCACCTGTTAATAGTGCAAATTTCCCAAATTTTTGTAATATTATTTTGAACTCTGTACTCGAATGTTGTATCCTCCTTAAAGGCATTGAAGATGCTGGTGAAAGAGAAAAGGTATTTTTTTAAAGATGTTTCATATTACACCTTATTTCGTTTCAACAAGTTTTTTTGTAATTCTTTTTTTTTTGTTTTCAGGTTATAAAATGTATGTGGGGTACAGTTTTCTATTTGGCAGCTATGAGTGACGACAAAAACTGTTTCGAATACATATCGCAAATTTTAGAAAGTATTGTTAAGGTAGGAATTTTGAAATTGATAGAATCTTCCAAACCTATATCTGTTATTTTTCAGAGATCAAATGACGACGTTTATTTCCAAAAAATACTCGTGTTGATATCAAGCGCATTTGCGACTGAAAGTAAAACTTCTACAAAACTGATGGAGAAATTCGTGCAACCTATGTGGAAAGTATTATTCAATGCAGAAAACATGTAAGTAATTATTAGTCATAAACTGGTGTTATTCTATCTAGTCAAGATGACAAAAACTACAATTTGGGATAGTTACATGGGTTTTTAAGAATATTTAGATTGTTTCAACATTTAAACAAAATATTAATCCTTAAGTTATTTTTTAACTTATTAACATTGAAGCTTTTTTCTTTGTTTGTTTAACATTTATTTAGCATGATTGCTACAATTGCATTCTTTTAGAAAACTACAACATGCATCTTTAAGAATGTTCACTGTCCATGAATTGTTTTTAATTCTCTTTTAAACATTCTCAAATATTACAAGTTGACTTTTTATCATTTAGTTCATTAAATGCCAGTGCAAATTCTATATAATGTTCTAAAGATTGTGGCAATAGATTTTTTTATTTTAAACATTATAAGAACCAAATATGAAATTTTTTATATTTAACCACTGCAATTCAAAGGATTTTATTTAGGTGTACTTATTTTTATTCAAGATTATTCTCATTGCTTCATTTTGTAGGATTTGTAATTTTGAGAATACAGCTTTACTGGCAGCGAACAAGATAGCTGGACATTATAGTAAATACAGTAGAATAATTATATTATGCACTATTTTTTTTATATGTACAAAGACTATGAAAAGTCCTATAAGTATTTACATATTAGTAGAAGCATTCAATTTCAGTTTCTTTTCATTTAACCAATTCCTTTATGATTTTTTCCATGTCAGAATTTAGCATCTCTTAAGAAGTGTCTATATTTTCATCTGATAATGTCTAAATTTTACAATAATCCAAAATATCACAAATCTCATTAATGCACGTCATTAATTGACATCACAATGTCATTGCTATTCTCTATGAAATAGGTATTCATTCTATCTGTTATTATTTTTTCATTTGTCAATTCCCTAACGTCGAACTTCATTTTAAATAATGCATTTTTACTAATAGGAGAAACAATGTTTTTTCAATGTTTTTCACATCTATTTGCAATTATTTTTACTGTCATCAATGTTGATATTATAATATATTTACTTTTCATCTCGTAGAATTGATAAACATTGGTTCCTTGATCTTGTGTATTCTAGCCGATCATTTTCACCACCAGTAATCATGAACTTATAATTATAATCGCGCTTTAATTTAGAATTTTTTTATAAATTGTTGTCTATCAGCTATCAACTACAAATGTTTCAGTCATATCGTGCAGCAAATGAGCTCGAAACTTTATATAGTTACCATTAGTAATTTCTTCCATTTTGTTAGCTTCAAATATACTTCAAAACATATCCATTAGGATATTTTTTTTGACTTCTTCATTCGTTATTTACAAATCCATAATTGTTCTTGATTGATTTGTGATCATAGACTTTATTTCCATATTTTTTTAGACCTTCAAATATATCCGATACTTTCAAGCACTGTATCACTATAATATTTACGAATACTACTACAGTGGAAGAGAAGATCAAAATAGTAAAAGATGTGATGAGAGAAATAGTGACAGTCCAAATAAGTGATAAAAATGTGCATACTGTAAATAAAATTTGGATATGTGTTGCTAAAGAAATCACGGACGACTGTAATGTCGATAAAATGAAGGAGTTCGACGATTTCAATCACTTCTTTTTATGGCCCGCGTATTGTATACATTATTTAGAAGAATCTGAGAAGAGGGTATGTATTTACAATAATTCTCGTGGCTCCGTAATTCCAATCATTATTTTTTCTTTTAGCAAACATTATTATTGTGGATGAAACTTTATAAAAAAGTGACTCAGGACTTGGGCAACAAGAAAGTCGAAATTTTCAAAGATCTCGAGAAGATTTTTAAAAATAATCCTCTACTTGCTAGCAACGTGACTTCATTGGTCAACATTATGTCTCAGGTTGACACAAAGCATTCAAATGTCTTTGGTAAGTAATTAAACAAAGTCTTGTTTAAGCTTCAATTTTCAAAAAAAAATCAGACATATACTAAGTGACATATAAAAAAGAACACATAGTAATAAAGACATTATAAGTAAACGAGTTATTGAACATAATTTCAAAAAAATAGAACCGTTTAAAAAAATTTCATCATCTTAAAGAATATCCAAATAACATTTTTTCAGAACTCGCAGATTTTAAATTCTCAAATTTCAAAATTGTGTCATAAAAGAAATTGTATGCTTTCAAATGTGAATACGCTAGGTTACACTTTTTTTTTCAGTTTGTAAGTTATTGGACCTAGTATCGCAAATGCTGGAGTTGCCGAATCTAAAAAACGAAGACGAAGTTAAACTAATTTCTTTGATGCTGCATTACTTGAACCCGAATTCGGAAAGTTACGCTGATCAATCTGGCTGCAATGAAGTCACCACAAAAATGTGCAGTTGTATCAAACAAGCGTTGTGTCTGCACCAAGCATATAAAATCCTAGAGCCTCTCGGAAAACTGCTCAAAAATGTATCACAAAACGTCAAAGCTCAATTTTCGAAAAATCTAAACGAGCTATTCGCCGATTTGTACAAAAAACAGAGCGACACAACGTGCTACGCTGCAAAGGAACTGCTGAAAGTGATGGTGATATTTGAAGTAGGCGAAGAAAAAGAAAAGAAGGTGTTTGTTGTGCCGTCGGGCAGATCGGCGAGAATTGCAAATCTTGCGAAAAATTCACCAAAGTCGCCACGCAAAAGTAACAAAGCGTCTCCCGTCAGTTTGAAGTTGTTCGGTAAAGATATTGATACTTTATCTCCGTTAAAAGTAAAAGGAAGTCAGTTGAACAACTCTACTCCCCCGAGAACGAAAAAAGCAGCTAATGTTATCGCCTCCAAAGTAAGAACGCCGTCGAGTCTTGACGAAGAAAGTGCCTCAAAATTCGTAACCATAGAATCCGAAGTGAAATTCCAGCCTTCAAAACTGAGCGAACACCAAAAAGAAGTTTTGAAAAGACGGAGAGACGATATACCAGCGCTGTATCAAGATCTGAGTCAGAGTCAAAGTCAGGATTTCAGTTCTTCAAAGTCGAATTCCAACGACGCTTTGCAAGAAATTAAAGAAAGAAGATCGTCTAGAGACGTGATTGACGTGATCGAGGAGCTGAACGAGTTTGTTCAAGTTAGGACTTCTTTTGAGGAAGACAAGAAGCAAATTGAGGAGGCTAAAGATACTCAAAAATCTGAAGATCTATTCGGAGAAACTCAGGGAACCATACAGGTAACAGAAATGTTTAATATTAATAGTATACTTTCGATGATCTGGCCACCGATATGAAAAGTATTTTTTTATGTAATAAAAAATGTTTAAAAACTGATGGTGAAGCATGTTATTTATTTTTTAAGATTCCAGTTTATTTCATTTATCCACGCTAATACAAAAAAATGTTCATAGCATTTTTATACTTATCCCAAATGTACAGGTATCAAAAGGAAAAGTGGAAGAAAAATCAGTGCTATCAGAAAGCTTGTTCAGTGAAGAAATCAAAGAAGAAAATGAAAGCAAAACTTCTCAAATGACGGCGCTGCAAATAGAACAAACTCCGAGAACAAAATCCGAAACTTCTTCCGCCAAAGTAGAAGAGACTGAAACCAAAGAATCTGAAACGCCATTAAAAACAGAAGAAACTTCAAGTAAAGCGTCTGAAGTTCCTGCTCCGATAATAGAAGACACTTCAAGCAAACCATCTGAACCTCCCTCAAAAATAGGAGATACCGAAGCTAAACCTTCTGAAATGACAACTGAAGATACTTCCAGTAAAGCTTCTGAGTCGACTGAAAGCAAAGCTAAAGCAGAAACTGCGGAGGAAAAGAAGAAAAAGAAGATTGCTGCGGAATTGGCGAAATTGCAGATGAACATTGTTGGAGCAGACGAATATTTCGCATCTCCTAGAAAAAGAAGAGCAAAGCTTAAGAAAAAAGATGAGGAAGAAAAGGTAATACAAACATAATATCAATCATGCTACATTTAATTTATATTTTTTATATCTTCACATAATCATCAGAAATACATTTGTTCAATTGAAGCTCCAGCATGTGAACGGAATATATCGCCTGTTGAATTTTGAAAGTATGTTTTCATTTGCCGTAAACAAATAGTTGAACAATATAAAAAAATGTAATTTCCTTTCGCATTTCAGGTTGACAAAAAGCGAGGTAGAAAATCTCTCGGTGCTCAACCTAACGAAAAAACTGCAGAGAACACAAGAAGGAAGACCATAGAATCTACATCCTCATCAAGTGAAAATGATACACCAAAAAAAACAGAGGATAAAATTGAAAAGCGTTTGCCTGCGGATGAGAAAGTAGTCGTACCAATTGAGAAAAGTTCTACTGCAGATAAACAAATTATACCGGATTCAAACGTCGCAGAACCTGAAAAAAATTCTAAACGTGACTCTAACATTGCTTCTTCAACGACACCTGAATCAAAATGTTCAAAACCTAGAAAGAGCATGGAAAGTCCCTCTAGTGAAGAACAAACGGTGCCTAATAAAACTGATCAAAAACCGGCAAGATCCCCTAGGAAAAAATCTAAAACACCCGATATAGAGCTTAGCAATGTAGCTGAACAAACTGGATCTGAAAAATTAGGAATATCGCCTAAAAAGGAGACAAAATCGGAATCTGAAAGTGTTGAATCTGACACAAGATTGAATAAGCGCGCAAGGCCAAGGAGGAAAACTATCGAAACGCCAGAGAAACAAAAAATCGTACCTGTTTCCAGCGAATCTGATAAGAAAGATGACGAATCTAATACGAAAATGGCTCACAAACGAGACCTGTCAAGACAGTTAGTAAACATAGGCAATCAGGCGGAGTCTATTAACAGTATTATAAAAGATCTGAAACCTTCAAAGGAAAATGTCGCGATTATAGAAGAAGGCGTTTTGAATTCTGCTGATACTGGGAAAGAAGCGATGATGGATACTCCAAGAAAAAGAGTAACAAGGATAGCCAACGAACACAGTTACGTGGTGAAAAAGGTTGTGGTCGAACACATATCAGACTTAGTAGAGGATGTTGCGAAAACACCGAAAAATTCCGCTGAAGTTGAATCTGAACAAGTCGTGTCCGTCTCTCCTAAACAGGAAGTCGCTAATGTTGGTGAACAATCGAAGGAAAATGCTGAAGTGATCTCGAATTCGAATGAATCTGACTGCGACGCGAAAGTAAAGAGGAAAAAGAAACATGGCGAGGGCGAGGACGAGCAAGACGAAGGAAAATCGTCGAAAAAGAAGCATAAGAAAAAGCATTCGGATCACGATTCTTCGGAGGATTGTGAATATGCCGGCAGCAAATCTCCGAAGAAGAAATCGAAAAAGAAACATGCGGAAAGCCCGGAAAAAATCGAGGCTGGCAAAGCTGCTGAAAGAAGGTTAGTTTTAATTCTATTTGATTTCAGTGTACGGTATAGACCAGATAGCTTGAGAAAAAAAATTGTAATATGCTGTTTTACAACAGATTCATGTTCTCGAGGTTATATAAAGAGATCCATCATCAAGATAAATAAAAGTTGCTCTTACGTTAATGTGTTCATTACCACCACATTTAGAAAATTTTACAAAACTAAATAGTCGTTATCATAACTACAAAACTAGAGGCAGTATAGATTTTCATCTGCAAAATTGTTTCACTAGCATAGCCAGCAAATCTTTATTAAAGGGAGTATTTGAAAATAATAAATTGAATGATTTTAAACAGTGTTCAAATTTAAAAATGTTCGAGGTGAAATTAAAAAATCACTGTGAATACTCAAAATGCATAATGATGCAATTTTAATAGACAAGAATGTAAAATTATAGAAAATTATACACAATTGACATTGTAGCATTAATGCTAAAAAAGTATTTAACAAACACAAACTCTCCTATAGTTGAAAATTATTTTCTACTATCATAACAGAAGTACTTGTAATTAATCAAAGGCTTCGATTTTTGATATATTTTATATAATAAAGACATTGAAACTGCAATAGAGCTGTTAAATGATGATATGAAAAACGTAATAAATTGGTTAAATGTAAATAAACTTAGACTAATCACAAACAAAACAAAATATTTGCTAATAGGAAGGTCTTTAGATCAAAATACAATAAATCTTAGAATTAATCATGAAAAAATTATTTTGTATTGAACAATGAGTGCCACAATTATTCTACTAGGGGAAGTATAGACTTTCATTTACATAACTGCAGTGGCAATATAACGAGCAAGTCAGTATATCAAAAAGGATTGTACGAATTTAATAAATTAAGTTGTGATATCAAGATGTGTGTCAGTTTGAAAATGTTCAAAGGGAAATTGAAAAAATATCTCATGGAAAACCAGAATTCATCATAGTAGTGAAATTTTGTATAAAAATATGTAGTCTTGAAGACAATATATTTTGCGAAATACTGTGTAATATGGATATTGTAGCATTAATGCTAAATAAATCTGAAACAAAAAAACAATGAATCCAAATTTACATCATTATTGCTTATATAAACTTTTTCGAAACTTCTAAAAAAATTTACAAAATATCCATTTTTTCAAAATTTACAAATTAACTTCCAAATTTTCCAATTATTTTCCAAATATTCAAATCCAATATTTTTTCCAAATTTCAAAACTCAATGTTTCTAAAAAAATTTCAAATTCGATTTTTTCCAAAATTATTATATTATCATCGCCTCTTGACTCTTGTGCAAATTTTCCAGTTAATCAGGTTTCTTGAAATTGGTGAAAAGCTTGTTAAGAAGATATGTGATTTTTGTTTGTTAAAGCCCACCAACCATAAGTTAAATTTCGTTCTTTTGGTGCAGGTTCAAGAAAAGACTGAGCGACCTAGAATCCGAAATCGACCACTGTCGACAATTCTTGTCACAGAACGAACAAGCTAAAGAAAACTCTCTAGAAATAGTCGACAACGAAATCGTCGTTTCGCCTAACAGCGAGAGCGCCATCAAAATCCGACTGAAAAGGAGAGATTCCGACCCGGGGAAGAAAAGAAAACACAAAAAGGACAAATACGAAGTGGCGCACCTCGAAGAGGAAATCGAAAGAAGCAGGAAACGAAAGTTGAGTACCGATGAAGACTGTGAAGATGTTATTGAGAGTTCTCAGGAGTCTTACGCGGAGATGGCGTCTTTGATTAATACATCGAAAAGGAGGAAGTTGGTGACCTCTTTGGATGTTAGTGAGGAGGAGACTATGGTTCAAACTGGTAAGTTTGGATTAACGAATGTTTTCTTATTAAATGTCAATGTTTAAGGGTTGTTTTTTCATCCATTATAAGGAGAAAATTTCATTCTAACCTACCAATCAATTTATTGTAACTACTATGATATATGGGGTTGTCCAAAACGAACGCAGGAAAGTAAACGCATATTAAAACAAGAAAGATTGATATTCAAATCAAGTTGGGTAGGTACTTTATTTCGAAGGTTCATTTATACCATTTATGTAACTCAAATATCTTTCTTCAACGAAAACGTTTTTAAAAAGATTTATTTTTGAGAAAGACCAAATACAATGATGTTAATTGAATGAGTTCTGAATCGAGACTGACTGCAAAGTTCATTATACAAACCAAAGTAAAGAACAAATGAAATACAATACTGTAACTGATAAGAAAGGCGCGTGGAGGCAAAAGTCCTTGTTCAGCATATTCTTCTCTGTAGACTGGTACATAACTCCTCCACCCCTAGAATGAAGCTTCCCCTGGAAGGTGAATTTCTTTCTTCTTATATCTTGAACTGGAATCTTCTCTTCTAGTGCGTTTTGTGGGACTTGGACCTTCTTCTTTCATCTCGGCTAATTCAATGTCGATTTCTAACCTGGATGCTTTCTTGTTTCTCCATCTTCTATATAAAATTATGCAGCAGATGCTTGAAAATACGAGATATAGTAATATGGTCCAAATACTGGGTTTTCCAAAATTTTCTATGGAATTTTCTTCTAAAATTGGTAACATTCGATTAACTTGTAATTCTGGTAAATTTAACGTTTTCAGAGTAATTTGTGTCTCTGGGATATTTTGTTTCATAAAATGGAAATCCATTTTGTCAGCTACGAGGGGTTTTCCATAGGTTTTGTATTGAAAGATAAGTTCATTGTCTTGGAATGATATTTGGCATTCACTGGCTTTGACTAAGAAAATGCCAAGTAATGACTTTGTATCGATTTGCTCCTTGCATTTAATTTTCAATTTTTCTTCGGTGAGAAATACAGCTAAATACTGGTTAATTTCGGGAATAAATTCGATGTGATTTTCTTCAATCTGAAGCTTCGTGTATCTACATGGTTCTGTATGATCTTCAGTAATTATTGACTTCTCGCATTGGGCTTTGTGATTGGCTAATATACGATTAGGGCATTGATAGATTCTACCTTGGGTACAAATCTCGTGCAGGGGTTTGATCTCATTTCGATCAGATTTTAGCAAATACTTATAATTTGGGATAATAGTGACGAATTCTGATTTGTGCATCAGAGTCGGTATAGGTAACATATAATAAAGATCGAAATGTTCAGGATAATCTATAGGAATAGATAGAAAATAACTTATTTGATTCTGATCGATTTTACAGCTGATAGAAATAATAGATTCATAATCTAGCATATTTTCATACTTTACTTCAAATTGTAATTCATTTTTATAAAATGTGGATATCTTACGGAGTTCTTGAAATAATTCTCTAGTCCTTATTATACTGGGATGCATGGTTTTCAATTTGCAAAAAGTTATCGAATTTTCGATATCTTGTAAAATATTCAATATGGCATTATAAAGGATAATTAATTGATTGATAATGTCCTTCGCTGAAAGAATATCCTGGTTTGTTGTCTGGTTCAATAAAATATGTTTCAATTGTAAAATGTTATTTCTTAATGTCATCTCATTGTGCTGTATATCTTGAATAGTCCCGTTAAATTTTGCGACAAGTTCATTGTTTACTGAATATTGCATTCTCAGCTGATTTTGAATATGATGCTGATTTTCTTGTAAATGAGATAAAATTTTATCAATACGTTCTCCATCGTCGGAGTCTAAATTTCCTGTTATTGTTTTTACTACATAGCCTATGCCATTAAAAAGTCCTCTCTTATTGCGAGTCTTTTGAGAATGAGATTTAATGTATTCGATTTTCTCTTGAATCAAGCTCCTTATATAAGATACTATCTTACTATAATTTTCTAGCTCGTTATTAATCTTAGAATGGTTTCTGTAACTATAGTTAAGATTACTGTATTGAATATTCAAATCTTCATATTCCTTATATAAAGGTGATAGATCATAATAGTGCACAAAAGTATGTTTTGTCTTTTGTAGCCTAGCTGTGCCTAAATTTACTGGCAAAATTCCTAAATTGTTCGTTATGTTTCTTATTTCTGCTCCGCATCCGAAATAGATGAGGTATCTGAAATATTAGTAAATTTAAATTGATAAGTTTTCTTCCTGGGCCTTTTAATATTGGATAAATGGATATTTTTGGAAGTATTGGCATGTGTGGGATCTATCTCCGCTCTTTTTAATTTCTTATCTATACTAATTAATTTTTCTTGCTTATACTTATTTTTAGTTTTCTGTTGCTTCTGCTTATTCTTAACATATACCTTGTTAGGAATATCAGGCAAAACTTCACGTTTCTCATTTGCTTTATTTATAACTTTTTCTTTATTCTGTAATATCTTTTCATTTAAATTCCTATATACTAATTTCATTTTTTCCTTATGATTCTGTAAATAATTATTTAATAATTGCTTATCTATGTCTATATTAAAAGGTGATTCTGTTTCATTAACATTTACTTCTATTCTAGATAAAAAGTCCGCATTTGTGTTTGATTTGCCTTTCCTGTAAACAATGTCAAAATCATGTTCTTCTAATCTTAAGCGCCATCTTAGTAATTTTGAACTAGCATCTCTAACTGAAAATAACCATTGGAGGCTTTTGTGATCTGTTACAATAGTAAACTTACGTCCAAAAATATAAGGTCTGAAATATTTTACTGCATATACGATACTTAGAAGTTCTTTTTCTGTCGTGCTATACTTTGTTTCTGAATCACTTAATGTTCGTGAGGCGTACGCTATTGGTAAATCTGAGCCTAATTTACCTTGGGATAATATTGCGCCGATTGCATAATTACTTGCATCCGTAGTTATCAAGAATGGTTTGGAAAAATCCGGATATTGGAGTATCGGATCGTTTGTCAATAAAGTCTTGCATAATTCGAAACATTTAATATAATCTGCGTCATTGGGATTAATAATTGCATCTTTTTTCAATCTGATTGTCAATGGCTTAGTGATTTTCGCAAAATCTTTTATAAACTTACGGTAATAACCTAAAAGTCCAAGGAAGCCTTTAATTTGCTTCTTAGTTTTTGGTATTTTAAATTCTGTGATTGCCTTTATCTTATCGGGGTTTGGTTTCACACCATCCGCCGTTACAACATGACCTAAATACGATACTTCTTTTCTAAGAAATTCTGATTTGTCTAACTGTATTTTAAAATTTGACTGACGTAACCTTTCAAAAACTTCTCTAAGTCGAGAAATATGTTCCTGTAAACTAGTACTGAATATTATAATGTCATCTAAATATACTAAGCATTTTTCATTTTGAATACCTCTCAGTATGTTATCCATTACTCGCTGGAAAGTCGCTGGCGCGTTTTTTAGTCCAAATGGCATTCTTGTAAACTCGTAGTGTCCATTTTCTGTATTGAATGCAGTTTTTTGAATATCATCTTCTGCCATTTCTATTTGGTGAAAACCTGAAGCTAAGTCTAATGTTGAAAAATATTGGCATCGCCCTAATTTATCTAACAAATCTGTTATGTTTGGAAGAGGATAACGATCTCCCAATGTTTTTTCATTCAGTTTTCTATAATCAATGACTATTCTCCATTTTTGCTTTCCCGATGCGTCTAATTTTTTTGGAACAATCCATATAGGTGAGCACCACGCTGAATGGCTCTCTCTAATAATTTTTTGATCAAGCATTGATTGTATTTGTCTTTGTACCTCTTTTCGGTGGATTTCAGGATATCTGTATGATTTCGTGTAAATGGGTATTTCATCGCTTGTACGTATATGATGCTTAATTTTGCTCGTAAAAGTTAAGTAATTACCATCTATGTGAAATATGTCTGAATACTCTCTTACTAACTTGGTGATTGCGTCTTTTTCTTCAGAGTTCATATGCTCTGTCCTAATTTTGGAAATATCAAATTTATATTTTTGAAAGTTCAAAGAATTAATATTCGGTGGATCAGAATTTTCTGAAACTTCGTAATTTTCAAAATTTTCTACATCTATTGGTCGAGATATGTCAAGAGAAATCTGTTCTTCAGATAAATTTAATACTGTGCAAATTGCTTCGTGATTTTTCACTGTAGTAAGACATTCAGGGATTTCTAAACATGATAATTTTCTGTATGGAATAATAGCATTACCATTTTTTAAATTTTTTATCTTAACCTTAATTATCTGTTCTGTTCTAGGTGGAACAGTGATAACATTAGAAGAATTTTTTGTAATCTCGTGATATTGCATGGGTATCCTTGTTGTGGGTGTGACTAAAAGATCATTGCTCAAATCAATGTTGGCATTCAATATCTCTTTCAGGTTATCGAGTCCTAAAAGGCATTGGAAATGTTCGTGAAACTTGAATAAATGAAATTTCATGAGAATATTTGGATTCTTAAAAATCTTTGGACAAGGTATTGTCATACTATATTGTTCGATAGATGAACCATGTGCTGAAGTGATTTGAAATGGGTCTTTTTGAATATGTCTTGAAAATAATTTTTTCGCAATTTCAGGGTGTATGAAAGATTTTGTACTTCCAGTGTCAATCAATACTTTGAGATTATACTCCGGAAATACAATGTATGGTAGTTTGCTACATTTGTCGGTTAAACTCATAATTTCAATTGACTTTGGTGGTCCGTTGAGACTTGTGGTTGTATCTGTACCGAGGCTTCTTGCCCTAAAAAATCGTCAGAATTATTCTGAGAATAAGCGCATTCGTAATTGTCATCATTTGGAAATTCTACAACAGGTTGGTCTTGTACACACAAGTTAAACATAGCCTGTTCTGCGTTTACACCAGGTCTGTTAAAATTTCTACCTTGAAAATTTGGTTGCTGATACGTCTGTCTAGTGGATGTACTCATCGGAGTAGGCCTTGGCAGATTATTGATCTGATTAGGTCTAAAAACGTTATTATTGTGAAAATTCTTTCTATTCTGATTAGGATTATTTGGTCGTACATTATTAGGACTAAATTGTCTTTGTAATACTGGACGCTGTACCGCTTGGTATTGATTCCTATAATTACCAAAGTTGTTGTTCATATGGTAGTTCGCCATATGCATATTATTTCGATTAACATTTTTATGTTTATCTATCTTATGATCAAGCTGAAAGTCGTTAGTTAATATATTCAGAGCTTCATTCAAGTCTGTAGGATTTTTCGTCCTCATGAGCGATCCTAGAGGTTCCTTTAAACCTTTTAGAAATACTCTTAATGCTACGCTTTTGCAAAAATTACATATTATCTGAGCTTCTTCACTCACACAATGTGTAGTTAAAAATGATATTTGTAAATTCAATAAACTCTGAACTTTGTTATAAAATTCAAAGGGGGTTTCATTGTTCTGTTTCAATTCACACAATTCTATGTTTAGAGTAAATACGTCACGCTTGTCTTGATATGTATTTAAAAGTGCAGTTTTCAAGTCTGTCCAATTTTTTATAATATTGCTACTAATATTTAAAGCTGCATTACCTTTGATTTTCGCTAAAATACTACTCATAAGATATTCGTTCTGGAAGTCATTTTCATCCTCTAATCTATAAAATTTATTCACTAACTTTTCGCAAATATCTATGAATCTTGGTAATAATTCTTGTTGACCATAAAATTCGGGTATCATGTTAAGATACTCTGGGCGTAATGACATGCTTGATTGATTTACTTGACTGTTGTTCATATTGACTGTACTATTTAGTATACTAGGTCTTAATTGCAATTTACTTAAACTATGTTGGATATGTTCCGTATCCGACTGTGAGTCCGAATCAGTGTCACTCAATATATCATCAAACAGCTTTTGGTTGTTTTCACCCCTGTAAGACATTCGTACTTACAGTAGTAATCCAATCCGTCCCATGTGTCCGTATGCCTGGGCCACTGCTGGGTTGCCTGTCCTGGAGCAGATGTTCCTTCTGTCCTCTGGGCTGCTGTCGTCTTGGTTTCTCGATTTGGGTAGGGTTCTATCCCAAATCTGGTTCCGGTGATCACGGTAACGATATCGATATTCCGTCGGATCGTTCGCGACCAATCGCGGTTGGTTTCGTTATAGCCAGTAAACCGTTGAAACGAACCGAAAATGTCCTTTTTTCGTCTGGCTATCCTACTGGATTGACTGCGCCACTCAAATATCTTTCTTCAACGAAAACGTTTTTAAAAAGATTTATTTTTGAGAAAGACCAAATACAATGATGTTAATTGAATGAGTTCTGAATCGAGACTGACTGCAAAGTTCATTATACAAACCAAAGTAAAGAACAAATGAAATACAATACTGTAACTGATAAGAAAGGCGCGTGGAGGCAAAAGTCCTTGTTCAGCATATTCTTCTCTGTAGACTGGTACATAACTTGTATGAAAAATAATATCGCTCAAATGTTCACCACGACTGGATTTACAGACGTCCACGCGATGGTCGAAATTTTCAATGACATTTTGCAACATGGTCGGTTCAATGGCATTTATCTCGGCAATGATGTTGTTTTTGAGTTCTTGGAGGGTGGCTGGTTTGTTGACGTAGACTTTGCTTTTCAAATATCCCCATAAAAAAGTCCAAGGGAGTCAAATCGCACGATCTTGGTGGCCATGGCACATTTCCTCTGCGCGAAATCACGCGATCACCGAAGAAGGACTGCAATTGATGGATATTGACGTTGGTTGTGTGGCATGTTGCACCGTCTTGTTGGAAATTAACATCGTCCGTATCCATTCCTTCAAGTTGCGGCAAAAAATAGTCCTCTATCATCACGTGATATCGCTCAGAATTGACGGTAACGGCGTCCCCGGCCACATTTTCGAAAAAGTACGGTCCGATGATGCCTTTTGACCACAATGCACACCACACAGTCACTTTTTGAGGATGCATCGGCTGCTCTTGATACTCACGGGGATTTTCGTTCGCCCAGATGCGGCAGTGCTGCTTGTTTACCGTCCCATTCAAAGTGAAATTGGCATCAATTTGGTGGTGTTCAAGGAGACAATCTGAGAACGTTCGGCGCGAAAAATGGTCGGCCCGATGCAGCTCTTGCGTCAATTGGATCTTGTAGGCGTGTACATTCAAATCCTTGTGGTGAATGCGGAGCAAACTGGTTCTCGAAATGTCCAATTCTTGGGATCGACGCGTTGTTGATTGTTTCGGATCGTCTCTCACACTCTCTTTCACAACAGCAATATTTTCCGGTGTGCGAACGCTCCTTGGCCGGCCAGAGCCTGGCAGATTTGCCACAGAACCTGTTGCCTCGAATTTACGCACCAGACGACCGATGGTTGTTTCGTTTGGGCGGTTGTTGCGACCGAAATGTTCACGAAGCGCGCGAAACGTGTTTTTTATTTTTGCACCATTTTTATAGTGCTCTTGAATAACTTTAATGCGGTCTTCAATCGAATACGACTCCATAGCGATCAATGATAAACATTCAACTAACAATGATATTTTCCTTTTGTAACATATCAATTTATTCACGGTTTATAATTGATGTGAATAAATATTATTATACATATTTTCCAGTGCCAGTGGATTCTCAAGGCCACTCGACTCTAACCGAAGACAAAATCGCTGCCATACAAGAAACTGAGACCGATTTAAAAGACCAAGACACTACTCAAGGCACCACATCCACTTCGAATACGACACAGGAATCCTTGAACGCGGAAGAACATATTGATACCGTCAAAACTGCGAACGATACTCAGGAGACGCTAACGCAGCCTACGCAACGTACTCAGGATACCATTCCTGATATTATTGCAGACAAAATAGAAGCAAAAGGCGAAGGGTGTTACTTCGAGCTACCTCAGAAACCCGAGCTGACGGATTCCGAGCAGATTATGTGCAAGATGGACACGATGTCGGTGAGTTGCTAGAAATTATACAATTTTATTACTATACTATAACTATCTAAAACTGTAATGACTCATCGATGTTCACGTGAACATCACTTAACTACCAGTAGTCGGCTGTTCATAGGCGGGGTATGAATGTTTAACATGGGTGAACTAGATTTGTCACATGCCTAATAAAGAGCGGTTTGAAACATATTGTAAGTCAAAAATTTGGGAATTACCTTTATTCATCGTCGCTTCCACTTACATCTGACAGTAATAAACTGTCGCTATCGCTTTCCTCGTTGAAATTGACTATAACTGCCTCTATGATGGTGTCGATGTGGTGGTCAAACTGCCACATTTTTGTTTCTTCCTTCACAACATGACGGATAGCATTCTGCCAAGCTTCGGGCGTTACTAGCTGTATGGAAGTCTCAAGTAAAACCTTAACGTCTGGTAATTTGAAGGTTGTGTTATGGCGCGCAATATAATCCTTCACTTGAGCCCAGATGAGCTCTATTGGGTTCAGTTCACAGTGGTAGGGCGGTAACCGCAGCACAGTGACACCACATTGACGGGCCATCTCATCAGTCACGTAACTAATGTTCGCAGGTTTGTGCTGTTTAATTTTTTCATACAATTCCGCTTTCACACATGAATCGTCAAACGGGATTCCGTTTTCGCGCAACCATTGCTGCATGTCACTTTTTCGAGATCCCATAGTCAGTACACGTTCGGCTCGACGACTATGGTAGGAAGCATTATCCATGACGATCACAGATGGGCTCAACTCGCTGAAGCACCCCTTGAAACCAGCTCTCGAAGCAGCTGGCATTCATTTCGTCATGGTAATCACCTCCTTTCTTAGAGACGAAAATCAAGTCACACTCTTCTAAAAAGCCACTATCGCTACCAATATGAGTTACGATCAATCTTTGACCTTTCCCTGACGGTCCACGAAGACCTGTTGACAAACCTTCAATGCTTGCTTGTCGGTTACTCACTACGTTTTTGTCTATCCAGGTTTTTTTAACTGTGTGACCTGCATTTACCCATGTCTCGTCCAAATAATAGATTTTTCTGCTTTGTCGCCTATAGTCAATCATTTCGCGTAGGTATTTTCGACGCCAGGCGACTATTTCAGGTCTCTCTATCAATACTGACTTCCGATTACGCGTTTCGTAACGAAAATTAATTTCGTGCAGGGATTTCCTCACTACCTTGACGCTCATTTGGGATATAATTTCATTTTCCTTGATCGCTGCATGTACAGCCTTGAGGGTTGGTATCTCATTCCTAAAGAAGAATGAATGTACGGTTCGCCTTAACGCCATTTTGCTATCGTCATCCAATTTAACGGCCTTTCGTCCCTTCAAATTAAACTTTGGATCGGTAGTAGCTCCAGTTTTCTTCTTTTCATGCACCACCCTGCGAATGGTTCACTCTGGAACGCCTGTCATACTTTCACAACGCACGAGTGCATCTCCCTGCGACATAGTTCTGTTCAGATAATTGAACACGTTGAGCACGATTTCTTTCGCGTCCCTCTTCAGTGCTTTACGAAGCTTTCTACTTGTTCCCTGGCTTTCAGTACTTCCACTCGTGCCATTTGTACTCTCCATGGTTAAGTATAACCAAAACAGTAACCACAGAAACCACAACAATAACAATCATACAAATATTCTTATAAAAACACACAATATGCGATCGCTCAACGAAACACGTTCCAATGCGTTGCCGACGCCTGAGTCTGCCGATCAAGGCGCGTCTTTGATTTCATTGGTTCTACCGGCGGAGAACAATCAGCTATTATTTCCATCTCTGTCTGTGCTGTTGACCACCGCAAAGCTACAGAAACGACATATGTCGTACGCTATACGGCTGTACTGGAAGGAAGCCGGGATCGAGCTCTGATCACGTGTTGATCACGCGTATGAGTCATTACAGTTTTAAATAGTTGTAGTATAGCAGGTATTGAACACTTTCTTCGATTGCAGTTTCTTAATCATTAAAAAAATATTATAGGTCTTACTCTTCTTGTTTAACTTGTAATTTATCCACCATCCATCAAAACTATATTATTTGTTTCTGAAATCCAAATTGGTTGTCACTGATGATTTTGTTGATTTTCAGAAAGTCTCTTCCAAGATCGCTTATGGTATTTTTTTTAAAGGTATGCCTGACCTCAAATCTCGACCGCAGCAGTTTGGACGAAATCGAACTGAGAGCCGCCACTCCACAAAAACAGAGCAACGCCGAAGAGCCGCCCCCAACAACTCCGAGCACTAATAGCATCACCTCGAGTCCGGTGACGTGCCAGACGCCCAACAGGACTTGCGAACTGCTGAATGACACTATTGACATTTCGCCTATATCGGAAGAAAGCAATACCACGACCAGTACCTGCGACAGCGTTGAAATACCTGTCGCTAAGGCATTGGTGTTTGAGCCTAAGGAAGGTAAGCGTGTGTAGATTTCTTTTTTTTTTCGGATAATTGAATACCGTTTGTCTGTACCATTTAAAACTGAATAACTTTAGAATATATCCAACGTCCATTTTCAGATACCGAAGAAAAGGCGAAATGTTGGAGCTTCGCCCCTCCCGAATCGCTCCTAGACCAAGACTGCCCCGCCGACGAATCCAAAGACTCGGCGACCTCGGACGAGCCGAAACGAACGAACAGCGGCACCAGTCACGACCGCGCATCGACGTTCGCGAACGTGGCCCACTTGATATCGCCGCTGTCGCACCGGAAGTTCGCTAAGCGGAAGAGCGGTGCGAACGCCGTGAAGATGTCGCCGTCTACCGGCAGGATCATGCGGCTGATGTCGAACTTCAATAAGCCGCAGGTGGAGGAGAAAGAAGACGGGAACGTCAGGGAGGAGGATTTGTTGACGTTCAGCAGAGAGGTGCCTAGTCCGTTGGCGGTGCCGAGGAGTGGCATTCTGAAGAGGAAGCTGTCCGATTCGACGGATTCGGATGTAATGTCGCCCGCCAGTAAGGTAAATAGATTTATTTATAATTATAACTAAATAAATTTATTGTTATTCGTTTTATATTTATTATTATACAGGGTGTGAACGTTATGATAGTCATTATTTAAATGGGTGGGAGAGGGGGTTAAAAGGAGCATAAAGTTTCATATAACATGGGGGTCAAAGCGGCATTTTTTTTTAGAGAAAAGCGACTTTAAAGTTAAATAAAATCTTACAACGCCGCAATGCCAGACGCAAATTAAGACGGAACGCAGTGTAAATGAAGATGGAGTGCGTTATTTTGGGCTCTTAGGTATTATTTCATTATTTAATAATGTACTCGTAAAATGCAAACAATTAAAAAAACGGACTTACCACAAACTGTCTCGGCGCTTCACCTGGTGTGTGAAAATTTACTGAACGTATTAAAAAAATCCACTTATAAATAGGGAACACAATTTTGATACAATTTTTTTTTAACCCACACTACACTTTTTTGTATTTAAACAAGGTGTTCAAAATGTCGTCCTCCACTTTCCACACAAGCTTCATTACGACGAACCCAGTTTCTTCTTACTCTAGGTCCTCGAAGTTGTCCATTTATTATTTCAGCCACATTATAATTTTTTTCGCGAAGTTGCGCTTCAGTTGTTATTGGACCAGCCCCATAAACATTCCTTTAGGTTCTCCCCAATACCAGAAATCTATCGGATTGAGGTCAGGAGATCTTGCTGGCCATTTTTGAGGATCAGGGGCATTTCGATCGATCCAGCGATTTGGATAATGTTCATTCAAATACTGAATGACGCCTCTAAAAATGTGTGGGGGTGCCTCATAATGAATAAACCACAAATTCTGTCTCCGTTGTAATGGCATGTTGTCTAAGGTCTGTTCCAAAAGTTATGGTACGTTATTGGCTAGAAAGCTAAGGTATCCTTCTCCTGACAACATTGGGGGTAACTCGAAAGGGCCAATTAACTGATCGTGAAAATACCCGCCCAAATATTTATTTTGCTGCAAGATTTGAATTCTGACGAGCTTCACCGTAAACTAACAACATCTCGGCGAACTCTTGATTCGAGAAAATTGTAAAAATAAGTACGACGACGTACGCGAACAAAAACAAAACAACATACTAACCACTGTAACCGTTTGCGATCGATTGCCGGTTCGATAAGAGTGATGGAAAACCGACGCGCAGTTGTCGTGTGTGTTTTAAATATTCAATTTAATGAAACTTACTTACTGACCACAAATTTTGGCTTAACTTAGAAAAACTTAATGCCATTTATTTGTTAATTACCCAATTTAAAAACGTTTTAGATTAGATTGTAAAAATTAGTAAGATTGTGGTGATCGTGGTCGATATAAAGCAATCTATTGACGTTTGGACCATGGGTCATATGAACTTTTTGACTTGTCTTGATCCCCCCCTATTACCCATTTCGATAAAAAAACCAAGGAGGCAAGGTCATAAATGAATGAATGAAGAGGCAAACCTCATATTTCTACTAACATACCAACATACCTATAAAACCTAATGTACTAAATAATTATTACTGCACATTAGCAGGAAAATAAAAAAATACAATACAAGATACTGATGATCCGTTAAGGAATCTAAACCACATAAATTTATAATATATATATATATATATATATATATATATATATATATATATATAGGTGAAAAATTAAAACTTCTGCCTTTTGTTGGGTACTTCGACAAAATTTAAGCAAAGAGGACTCTTTATACTTTTTTTAATTCTCTCTAGCTTTCAATGGACTTTGCCATCATCATCAGCAGCTGCAATTACAATGATAACAGTAGCAACAAAAGTGTAAAATGAATTTAAATTGAATCAACTTACAGTAGTATGTGAGGATGTTGCTAATTGTTGTTTTCGTATTATTCCATGACCACCATTTTGTGCAATCATCAAGTGGCTTCACGACGTAATGCTCTAATGTTTTCTAAATAATTTTTAATCTGTCTTTAACTTGTCTTGTCATATTTCATATAATTTTAACCATTGTACCATGTATCCAGCTCTCACCATGTTACTGGACGTTTCCCTCATCCTATACGAAAACAACAATTAGCAACATCCTCACATACTACTGTAAGTTGATTCAATTTAAATTCATTTTACACTTTTGTTGCTACTGTTATCATTGTAATTGCAGCTCCTGATGATCATGGCAAAGTCCATTGAAAGCTAGAGAGAATTAAAAAAAGTATAAAGAGTCCTCTTTGCTTAAATTTTGTCGAAGTACCCAACAAAAGGCGGAGGCTTTAATTTATATATATATATATATATATTGAGACGTGGTCATTGTCGTCTAGACCAGTTAGGTGAAAAATTAAAGCTTCCGCCTTTTGTTGGGTACTTCGACAAAATTTAAGCAAAGAGGACTCTTTATGGGATGATCATCCTATACGTCAACAACAATTAGCAACATCCTCACATACTACTCTCCTGATGATGATGGCAAAGTCCATTGAAAGCTAGAGAGAATTAAAAAAAGTATAAAGAGTCCTCTTTGCTTAAATTTTGTCGAAGTACCCTAACTGGTTTTTTTAGCATATATGTTCAGTGTCCCTTACTAGTGAAACGATTAATAACAAAAATGCTTCTTAATAAGCTACACGAAATTTAACATTTAACTGACACCGTAAATGTACGAAAACTGAGTGTTTCTTTATCACCAAACAATACACGCAGTTACAACAATAACTTAACAAAAAACCTGACCATTTTATCACTTGTTGTTCATGGCAAGATAGATCGATATGTAAATGAATTCTAATAATCATACGTAAGTGTTTACCTTTTTTTGTGACTCAGAATAGTATCAAGATCTATCAAAAATAAAAAATCATCAGAAATGATGAAATTTAAGTGACAGTGACTATATGAAATTGGAGCAAGACCTGAATAGGTTGAACAAATTTTGTGTTAACAGCAAACTAAATATACTAAATGACATAGAAAATGCAACACAATCTTGGGAATAATTACGAGAGAAGTTAAACGGTGGTTTTTCCTTGCCAGGTTGATATCATCTTTCAGGATAAGCAATTTTTTTCAATGGGAAAATTAACTTTGTTTTTATTACTTTTAAAAGAGTTTCTGCAATTATTGTATGTAAACGTCGAGAAACGAGCATAGGTTTGGATATCGTTCTGAAAGATGCGTTAATCAATGATCAAATAATTGCGAACAGTAAATTAACGATGTTGTTTCAGAGGAAACGCGTGAACTTCAGTGATCCTTGCCTGACGTCGAAAAAGATTTTCATCAAAGATGAGGACTTCCAGCCCAGCGTGGAAGCCAAGCGTCTGTTCGATGTAGAGCAACAGGTAAAAATATACATTTTTTTCACAGTAATTAGTGAAACTTTAGCAAAGGTTTTCGCATTGAAACCAAATGTAATAATTTTTTTTTTATTAAACGAATACTCGGTTGTCTCAATCAACTATTAATGGTAGCCTAAGGAAAAAACAAACCGTGGCGTGTTATTTCTGTATAACCTACTAGTTTTCTTAAATTTCTGCTGTTTTTTCTTCCAGGTAAAACCGACGACTCTAGACAAACTCTTCTGGCAGTCTGACTCCGGCGGCAGCGAAAACGTCGAAACAGAATCCGAACAAATAGAAACCGACCAGTCTTTGGACGTCGCAAGCACAACGATATTACGCAAGGACCGGCCGATCTACGCGAAACTAGTCGATTGCGAGGATGATGTGATAGCGATTTTGAAACGGGTCACCAGTCCGATGTTCGTCACTACTTTGATGAATAAGTTGAAGGACAGAGATATCAAAACCATCGGGGATTTGGCGAAGCTTAGCGAGGTCGAAGTTAGCAGGTTTCCATTTAAGGTGAGCAATACAATACAAAATCGTTTATGAAAGCAAAGTTGCGCATTTCGGTAACTAATAAAATCTTAGATAGTTTGGACAGAAAATACGAACTTTTGCTATTAGTCGGATCTTTTTACGTGTGGTCTCATTTTGTAGGCCTCATAAATACCTAAAAATCTGATATGGAAAGTTATTTCGTTCCTGCCAGCACTTTCGATTGAATCCCAAAAAACACGTTTTCTTATTCTTTTTTGTCAAATACAAAGTTTTCCAATAAAAATTGGTGTACCCATTTTATGCGTCCACGTTTTAAATACTACTTGCAACAATAAAACCAGACTTTACAGTTATTTCCGGAAAATTTGCTAATACGATTAGACTATCAGGCAGATTGTTCAGGAAAGGTTGCTTATTTTCGCACAAACACAATGCTAAAACTATTTTGCGTGTCCAAGTAAAGCGATTATAAAGAAGTGTTAATTTATTTCAACCATAATCTTATGATTTTTTTTTTAGGTTCCTGTGGTGGCGAATGTGTACAAAGCCCTGGACAACTACTACTATAAGAAAATGACCAACAAACACAAGGATTCAGATGGAGAATCAACGAAATCTGATGATAGTAATAAATATTCTGAAACGAAAGTTTGTAAGAAAACTAGTGCAATATCTCTATCTGGAAATGTGACTATAAATGGATATCCAGAAAAAACGGAAGAAGATTCTTCAGCCGTCACGCGAAAAGAGGAAGCAGTTCCAGAAAACACCAAAGAGGTGAGTGCTAGTATACAGGATAGCCATGATAAATGTCTATAGTCCCAAATGCCCTTTTGAAGTCTAAAAATATTGTTAGAATATATTCTTTCTCATCTATACTTCTTCTCCAGTCTTCCACCACCGTTTCCCTGGAACATTTTTTTCTAAATCCAGCTTGATTTCTTCGAAGAGCTTCTCGACATCGGGCAAGACATTAATCGGTTGCATATTTGTATACAGCTGAGAATTTTGAACTTTTGGCACAAGAGTAATGGTGGAACACTTTAATTTTGATGGGAATTCACCATGTACTAAACAATGATTCGCCAATAATAATAATTCTCTCCAATTATATTGAAACAATCATTTGGAATATTTTTTGAGAGATTCTCACTTGGATTTTCATTAGATTTCAATTTTGAAATAGCTTTTCTTAGATTGTTGATGTTAATTGTCCTAAATTGCTTCATTGATGCGTTCTGACATACTTGTAATGGACATTTCTATAAAATAAGTGTTCATTCTGTCTGCTATAATTAATTTGTCTGTCTCTACCCCCCATCTTCGAAACGCATTTTAGAATAATTTGGAGCCATTGCTACAATGAATGTGTCGCCAACTGTGTCGGAAATTTAATCGAAAGCCTGTGACCTAAGAATAAAAGCGGTAAATCCCCAACCAATTCGGGGAAGTCACTAATTTACGCCTGGCACTTAGACTGCGTCTGTACCGAAAGATTAAAGTCGATGAATCCCCGGTTAATTCGAGAATGTCGCGACGAAAATGGCACTGTTGAGAAATGCAATAGCAATACTGTCAACAGAAAAAATAGTCGTTTCTTTTTATTTTGTCTTTTGTCCAGTTAGGAGAACATTTTCTCGTGTCCGCTTTCGTTTCAAGAGAATGTCCGTCCCAACGAGAGTTAATACAATGCAAATTATATGTGTCGGTTGGGACCATGAGAAACTATCCGTGTAAGAGGGGAATATCACTGTGTATCGTGCAACTGTTTGTTATAGTATGACAAACTTATACAGTATTGTTTATTGTTATTCCTGGGTGCACACCTGGAATATTATCTTTTTTTTTTATTCCAGCCAATCGAAACGGCGATCGTCAACCTGAAACAAATCATCTCGCAAAGCCCGATGCTAGAGAAAACGTCGAGTTGCATCATCCGTTGCCTGATCGAAACGATAGGCGTATCGAAACTGATCGATTCGGTGACGTCGATGTGCGAACGAGAGGAAGACCGCGCGAATTTGACGGCCTGCCTGTCGCGCGCGACAAGTGACAGCCGTACGACAAGTGACAGGACCGCGTCGCAGACGACAAGCGACAGCGGGAGCAGCGTATACGCGACAGCGAAAAAGTCGTACGAGATCGCCGAAATTAAGGCGATAGTGGAAGAGAGCGTGAAAACGGGAGGCGTGAGTAAGAAGGAAGTTGTAGATGAATGTCTGCTGCCTTTGGTAGAGAATCCCAGGGAATTGTACGGGTACATGGATAGAGTGACGGTTGTCGAGTTAGGCGACGTCGTTATTGACAGGTTGGAGAACGAACAGGTGAGAGTAGAAATTGTGAAACTTTGATTTTAATGACTTCGAGTTCGAAAATTGGTATCTACAGTCACCACTTAGGAGTTTGAGACTCGTATATTATTGTAAATCTCTGGCGTTCTAGGAGAATAACAGACAAATTACGTTTATTTAGTCTTTCATTGACTGGATTAAAAAGGTTTGCGTTCTGCCCGCAGGTTGACGACTTTCTGAACCGAATAATCTCAACGTACCCAGAACAAAGCCTACGATGCTTGGTGAAAATCAGCAGCAGTATTTTAGCGGCACCGTCGAAAATGGTCGACACATTCCGGTCGTGCCTCGGCGCTCGATCAGAACAGGATCAGAAAGATATTATGGTGGATATTTTCAGGTTTATCAGCGGAAAACTGGATCCTGAGACGCTGTTCTCGTTGCATCTCGAATTTTTGAGCGGGATGAGGCAGATCGTGCAGAATAATAGTACTAGTAGATTGTAAGTGTAAAGTATTGATGTAGGTCAGTGGAAAGGACTGGTAAGGGAGAGTTAAGATTTTCGTTGAAATGGAAAACTAGATATTTTTTTGCAGGCGCTTTTTGTCAAAGTATCGAAATTTCCTGGTGTAACATCTCAAAGAGCAGAGGTTTGCTGTCATTTTTTTTTTGTTCTGCGGTCATTTGTATTTGCTTGATTCATGTAGCCAAAAAAAGTAATATGCAAAAAGCAGCTAACACCCACTATATGCAGCAAAGCATATGTCAGTCAGGATTTTAAAAGCTCCATAATCGTTTTTATAAATTGAAGGTTAGATTCACTATCAGTGATTTGCCGATAACTAGAAGGACTATTGCATTTTTTGGATGCAGCATTAAATGAACTCTTTGGAACCTTACATTTTTTCTGCATGAGACATATTTTTTAAGATAGTTTCACCTTTCCCTACTTTCTAGACTCCCTCAAATATCGATATAAATCATGGGTAAAGTTATACTTTAACGTAAAATTTCCGTTCCTTACACTTTCAGTGTCAAAATAGGCGTTGCATTTAAGAAAACCGTCAAAGTTACGCTCACCATTGGATGAATATTTTGAAACCTTACAACTTTATTACTCAACATTTTTCTTCTCGAAATATTTTGTAATATCTCAGAATTGCTGCTAGTAAACGAGATCTTTTTTACATCATTTGTGCCGTAACACGAGACAAAAACGAATCAGCGGCCGCAAGATGGAAGAAACAACATCAAAATTGCCTTTTCGCAAGATTGTAGAACCTTAAAATGTCCTTTCTACTGATCCAAATAGTGACCAGTGAGATAGCGTCAAGAGGTAGAGAAGAAACGACTGAAAAATGTACGTCTTTTTATGAGTAAAATTTTTTTTGTACTTTTCATGATATGTCGCTATCTCTGGCCGCAACGTTGTGTAGTGTCAAACCGATAATTTTTCAATTACAAACGTCTTGTTGGTTTGGCATAAAATGGAATGTTCTTTTTATTTAAAATTTCATTATAAAGACTGCTTTTGTATATATTTTTTAACGAATCTTTTATTATTAAACTATACACGCATTAACGCTTGACCTTTTTTTCACCCTTTTTACTTTACGATTGAACATAGTCGCTAGCATAATTTTACTTCAACGAATGTTTTCTGCGCCACTTTACAGCTCGCCGCCGTTTTCTTTTTTAGTTCTGCTACTGTCCAATAGATGGCGCCACTGGCAACACGCTCCTCACTAGATTTTTTCTGTTGAACAAGACAACAAATAGATGTTTATTGCTTTATGCTTTTTAACGAAATTGGGATTTTAACTCCCCTCGCGGCTATTTAAGTTTCATGCTCTTTGAGAAAGCGTTAAAACTTGTGTCACCACTCAAAGATTCTTAAAGCTTAAATGAATGTTCTGAGACTGTGATATCAAGGTTTTTAGCGTCCTCTATCAGACAGTAGCCAAACTAAAATTAAATCGTCAAATCGTCAGATTTAGCATCTTTTATGCCAATAAAACAATCTTCGTAATATGCGTAATATATTTATTTTCCATTAACTTGGGGAAAACTCATCTTTTTACATTTTGATACTCTGAGAAGAACGGTTTTGTATACTAGATTCGAAACGGTTCTAGCTATTACAATTGTAGAAGATTAAAATACTAAATGCTACACAGGAAACAATCTAAAACAATGTTAGCGGACGTGTGCAAAGAACCAGTGGAACTGATAAAAGGAGAAATATTCCACTGACTCTCAAAAAACTAAATAATGGTTTTTCGATTAAATAAAAAAATATAACGCACAAAGAGAGTGGCCCCAAAAATTCGTCTCTTTATGAGCGCATTGGATTCCGACCTTTAGAATAAACCTGAGGAGGTTTCCCAGTCATTGAAATAATCGTTATCAAAAACCAAAAGAGGCATTATTGTTTTTTTTTTTGAAAATATTAAAAAATCATCACTATTTGGTGGTGAAATGATCCCAAAATCTAATGACTCAGAAGTCCGACACTTTTTCCGAAAGTTCCCCTTTATAGCCCGAATTATTTTACATCAATTGTTTTGGATAAAAAACTAATGAACATAAAATTTGGCTTTAAGTGCCTCATAAGGGGTGAACAAACAAGGAAAAACGTCAAAAAAATCTGTAATTTTTGAGAGAAGATCTTTGAAGATTACTTTTATAGAGGAGAGCTAATTTTTATTTCCAAGAGTCAAAAAGTAATGCCTCTTAAATGTTCATAACGATCAATTTGAGTTCTGAGAAACCTTTTTAGGAATTGGAGTCTAAAAACAGGCGAAAAAATGCTTTTTTTGGGTTACTCATCCTACACAGCGTTTCCCAAAATATGTGAATATACTATAATATCAAGTTTGTACAGAACATGAAAAATTTTATCAACATTTTTTATAAGTATTTTTTGTATTCTAAACGAAACGCGACTGTACACATATTCCGGAACACCCTGTATAAGTTTCTATTTGAAAACGGTATTCACCTTTAACTAAATGTGGCCAAAAGTGTCATTTAAACTTTGAAAAATTGGAAATGTTCGTAATTTCGCAACACCTCTTTTTGATCTATATAATTTCATTCATTTGGAGAATTATCCGTCAAAAAACTTCGTGCTACTTTCGACTAATAATCATACCGTTAATCTTGATCGGCTTCTGCAAAACACTTTAATGACGTTTTGTAACAAAGTTACGACTTTGAGTATGTACTCTAGATTCTTGCCACAAACGCTATACGTTCCTGTGTATCTGTTAAATTGGCACAACATGTTCTATATAACTTAACTCACGACATTTAAAATATAGGCAGTAAACATAAAAATACATATACATAAAATAATTCGCGATACAAAAAGGTAATGATAAAATTTTACTTAAAATACACTTCACTTTCGCCTCTGTCTGAACTCCCGCTTTTTGGTGTCTGCATTCCTTAATACCTGGAAGGAAATAAACAAATTAGACTGCGTTCACAATTGGACCATTCGAGGGATTTGGCAATAATTATCAATCCATCTTTTCTCTTTAAAAATAGAAACTATCAACCTTTTTCTTGGAATTAAACAAACCAAAATACGACGTGGACGGATAGCGAAAGATAACAAATAATGTGGATTATGGCCAGTGATATTGTGTCCGATTAGTGGAATGAACGAATTTTCATAGCATCCCAATAACCGGCCAGTTCCTGTTTCCCGCCAGTTTGTCACGAGACTCTGAAATAATGATTAATATTTCCACTCTTAGAAAAATTTTCGTATCTTTAGAAGTTAGAAGATCAAAGACTTTTCGCTAATTTTATATTTTTCTAAAGTACTTACTTCTGCGTAAGACAGATCGAGCTTCCTGAGCTTGTGCAGATCGTGCGTCGCCGAGCTCGGCTTGAACTCGTACTTGGCGGTGCTGCCTTGACTCGGCGTCGGCGACGGAGCGTTTTGTCTCAACGCCTGCGATGACCAGAACTGCAGCGTGTTGCCATTCCACGCGCCCGCCATTTCGTCCCCTGGCTGCCCCAGGCGCACGCCCATGCTCGCCGCCAGCGGAGATTGCTCGGCGCTGCTCGAGCCCGTGCGTTGTTGCTCGCGCGAATGTTCGCGACGACGTCGCCCTACAAACATCACAAACAAGTGCGTTTTTTGTATCAACAAATATGTAGAACAGTAGATAAGACATAAGAATTCGGCCACTGCGAAGTGAATAGTAGCGATCTAAAGATCTCAGTTCCCGTTTGATAGCGCAGTCATCACTGTGACCGCCAGAAGCTGCCGATCCTGGTGGTATGGTAGATGTGCGAGCAAGTCAGTATTTCAAAAAGGATTATACGAATTTAATAAATTAAGTAATGATATCAAGATATGTGTCAGTTTGAAAATGTTCAAAGGAAATTGAAGAAATATCTCATGGAAAACCAGAATTGATAGTAGTGAAATTTTGTATAAAAATATGTAGTCCTGAATACATAATATATTTTGTGATATACTGTGTAATATGTAAATATACATATGGATATTGTAGCATTAATGCTAAATAAATCTGAAACAAAAAAACAATACGATGCAAAATGAAACAAAAACTTGTGATCCAGTCAACAATAAAGCCAAAGCTAGAATAAATTAAGTAATACAAACATAACGTACACAAAATAACAAAAATTTTAATAAGTAAAATACTAAATTGGGACTAACCTGAATTTGGCCTGCTGGAATAGTTGATCTTCGGACTGCCGATGATATGCGTGACTGGCGAGTCCGACCTCTCCGTCGATAGTCTGTTCTTCCTCCTAGACGACGACCTCTTCCTGACCTCCACCGAAATGTACTCCAACGGCTGTCTCACCAGCGGCCTCAACGCGCGCTCCTCTTTGCTCCGTTGCCCGGCAGGCGGCAGCACCATAGCGCCGCTGTCGTTCGACGAATCGTGCGGCTCCGGGATTGGCTCGTTCTGCGCTTGAACGATGCTCTCGATGATCGTGGTTGGTTCGCCGTGCGAGACTGACAGTTCGGACATGTTCGAGGAGAGGACGCTTTGCGTGTCGTCGTCGGGGAAATCGGCGAGCTGGATAAGAAAAATGCATTTCATTTATTTATTCATACTTAATACACTCGCGTGCTTACCCAGGTCGGTGCTGTTGCGTCTGGTAGAACTTGCGATTTCAGTGTTTTTTCACTTGAAAATTATAGAGGGTAGACTGATAAATTATTTTACATCATAGAAAGTGTGGATGAACCACGCTTTTCATGAAATTTCTTTCCCAAAACACTGTATTTTTTAGCATTTATTTCCACCACCATCTACCATATGACGCTGACGTCTGTGGTTATGTCATATATGAGAGGCGCTTGCCTGCGGTGTTGCCGAATTGGGCTCCGTATTTAGGGAAAAATATGAAAAGTGGAAAATTTATATACATTGAAACACAAAAACAAATAGCTGACACAAACAACAGTAATAAAATTGTGTTTCTTACTAAGTATACAACAAAAAAGAAACAAACAGCAGTAAAATAAAAAGCAATTCTCTTATAAAAAAACAAAAATTAAAACAGTAGTAAAACAAACAAAAATAATTCCATTTAATTATAAAAATACAAAAAATAACAAACAGTAAGATAAAAAGCAATATGGACGGAATGAAATTGTTCTTCGTTTTACTACTGTTTTTACTTTTTGTTTTGTGTTGTCACTTAGAATTGGTTTTTATTCAACATGGATTTTTTTGTTTTACTACTGTTTTTATTTTTTGTTTTTATAATTATTTATAATTTATATTTTTATAGCTTACTTACTGCTGTTATTTTTTTATTTATACTTATTAGGGATCGCCTTTTATTTTGCTACTGTTGTTGGTTTCAGTTTTTCGTTTTTTGTGATTCATTAATTAATATACATATGTATATAAATTTTCAACTTTTCAGATTTTTCCTTAAATGCGGAGCCCAATCCGGCAACACCGCAGGCAAGCGCCTCTCACATATGACATATGCGCAGACGTCTACGTCATATAGCAGATAGATGGCGGAGGAAATAATGATGGAAAGAAGAGTTAAAAGTACAATGTTTTGGGAAATTTTTTTCATGAAAAGCGGGCTTCGTCCACACTTTTTTGTTTCTAAATAATCTATCAGACTACCCTCTACAAGTTTTAAGAGAAAAAACAGTGAAATTCGGAAGTTCTACAAGACGCACCAGCAACACGGCCGTGAGCGATCTGTTCGAGAACGATCTCGATTACTTTGAACGGAATTAATACGCAAGGCGCGGCGACAGTGCGGTCAGTTTAAAACTGAAGTCCAGCGGTTGGATTAGAGTTGGCATTCAATTAAAAATATTATGAGCAGTAGTATGAAGATGAAGGCATACCATTTCCATTCGGAATGGGAAGAACAATATTTCTTTACAGGAGTTAAAGGTAAAAATGTATGTTTGTTATGTAATACATCTGCTTACGGTGCTAAAAAAGGTCATACCGAGAGAACGGAAAAACTAAAACAATTAAAAAATCAGTTAATTGGACAACAATGTTTTTAAAAACAATCGACATAAGTAAGGCTGCAACT